GATATCTCACCTGGGTTCCTATTCTCCTTCTTCCAACTGCTTTCTAGATATCACGTACCTGACTCAGTTCTCCTACCTTATCTTTTTTTTTTTTTAAGATTTTATTTATTTATTTATTTGACAGAGAGAGCGAGCGATAGAGACAGCAGGAACATAAGCAGGGGGAGTGGGAGAGGGAGAAGCAGGCTTCCCGCGGAGCAAGGAGCCCGATGCGGGGCTCGATCCCAGGATCCTGGGATCATGACCTGAGCCAAAGGCAGACGCTTAACGACTGAGCCACCCAGGCGCCTCTACCTTATCTTTTTTACCTGAGCAGTATTTTTTCTTTTCTCTCTTTCCCACTGTCCACCCTTGTAATCCCTGACCTGGACAATTGTCATAACCTCTTAATTGGTCTCCCAGCTTCCATTCCATCCTTCTTCCCAATCCATTGTACATAAATGATTTTTAAATGGGGTAAGCATTAGAAAAAGTCCTCTTTCCCCTCAAGATTCAGGTTCACTAAATTGAGGGCAGACCTTGGGTACTTGTTTTACAAAAAGCTTCCAAGATGATTCCTATGCACACCTTTGATTAAAACCAATGATTTACAAGCTTCTCAGGTTATCTTTTCAAAGCCCAACCATAGGTACATCATCCTTTGACTTGAAAGTGTTCTGTGCTTCCCCCACTGCCTCTAGATAAAGTCCAGACTTCTTAGCTTGTGGTAGAACAGGCTTCATTCACATCCTGGCCCTAATCTACTTTTCCAGAGGCATTTTCAGATACTCCCCTTCAAGTGCCTCTGAGTCCGCCAACTAAGTAAGTCCCAAATATGCCATGTACTTTTGGGTTTTAGTCCCCTTTTCCATATCACTTTGTCCAACTGGGGTGCCCTTAACTTTTTTTCTGTAGCTGGGAATCTCTCTCCCTCAATGTTAGCTCGCCCTGACTACTCTTGCCCCTCCTTTCTCCAGGCAGGAGTCACTGCTCTTCACTGGACTCAACACTTTGTACTTGTGTTGCTGCTCTCACTACTTTGCATAGTGATAATTTGTTTATATATCTGTCTTCATCAATATATGATTAGGTTATTGAGGTAAAAATAGTCTTACTTATCTTTTATGAGTAGGCACCCAGTAAGAATGCTTCTTTCCTTTTGATTAAGATTTTAAAAATTCCAAGTCTTCTTTTTATACCTACCTCTTCTGCCTAGCAGATTACTTCTATTTGTATCATCCATTTGCTTCTATCTTCTCATCAAAAAATTGGCATGTCTTATGAACAAAGAAGGAACCTTCCGAATTTGTACCAAGTGATGGTTGGTGGTCATTTGGGTATCACAGAACTCATTAGTGTCTAAAGATACCTTGCTGAGATCTTCAACAAAGGAAGATGTAGAACATCTGGTGACCTGTTCAATGTATTCAACAGGTTTTGAATGTTAAAGAAGACTACCAAAACTGATCTGATCACTTGGATCAATTCTGCTTTGTAAGTTTCTGTAACTGGTACCATTAATGTCTACTTCACACCTGGAAGCATTCTTTCAGCTGTCTTATAGGAACTATGAAACAGAAGTCATTTAAGCCAGAAGTCATTTATGGTATATTACATCTTCTAAGACCATGTCTGAATTGTTGGCTTTCACAGTGAATTGTGGGTCTTTGGTAGATCCTACAGTAAAGACCCCCTTTATGTTTTCAAATACCTCTTTCATTTTGGACCTCAAACACATAGTACCTATTTTTCTAGCAAAATGTGCTAGAAGTTCACAAAGGCCATGAAGCTTGGGGGGAGTTATGATTAGCTTCCAACTTACAGTGTAATCATTACTGTCTGGTTCTGAATATTAGAGAAGAGGCTTTGATATGTGTGCTCTAAGATAATAATTGTGCATGATATCTGCCAAGAGATAGAGATGATTATTAATGACTTTTGTGGCATCAGACCAAACAAAATACTACAAATCATGAAATTTTATTGCATGGATCCATGTGTAAGAAATTTTTAAGAAGTTTTTTTTTTCTATTGTCATTTTTCCTCTGAGAATATCAGACAGGAAATTGAATGTAGTAGTATCTTCAATATTGAAAAATACTAGGTAACTGCATTAGTTCTGAAAGCAACATGAGCATGTCCTTATCTTATTTGGGAAATGGGTTACGAATAACAATATATTAAAGAGGCAAAGCCCATTCTATTTTCAGGAGCAGAATGTTTCTGGTGCCCTCAAGCATGAAAAGCTATGGTGTTGGATTTGTCTCTCTCATAGGAATTGTCTCCTTGTTCCATTTGGACAATTGATTTAAAAGGACTAGAGGCAAAAATATAAATTTAGGATGAAAATTAAGTTAATCTCTGTATTCAGTTTAATTAGTCAGCCTAAAACGATTGATTATAACGCAGCACAGCCATGGGCATTAATAGGCTTGAAAGTTTGGGGGCAATATTGGATACCTGCCTGGAAGATAGGTAGGGAGATGAATAGTGTGGAATTAAATTCTCGCCTAGAAAGGCATATTTCAATTCTGAATGTCTTACTTTGTGACTTGTCACATAAAGGGAGGAATGTGTAACAGTAAACATAGTGCTGTGGCTTAAAAATCAGGAGACCTAAATCTGTTCCCTGCAAATTACATTCCATCTTTGATCCTGTCCATTAAATGGAAAATCATTTAAAATATTTCCTTACCCAGAAATGAAATTGAGTTAAAAGAAAGGGAGGAGTGTATATAGACAGATACAGAGATAGGTAGGTAGGTAGGTAGGTACACAGGTAGGTTGATAGATTGATCCATCCCTCTTAACCTTTCCTTTAGATTCCTTGGCTTTACCTGAAAATTTTCCCTTGAGTCTCTGTTTGAGTGTACTGTAAAACCTGCAAAATAGCAAAGACTCTGGTCCCTTAATATTCACCAAGCCTTGCTAAGTATAACCTCTACAAAAACACTTTATATAATTAACTCAGCACTTAAATATAAGGAGAAACCAGGAGCTAGTTCCCAGCATCTAAATATGAGAGAAGGACTTTTCTACTTCACTTTTTGGCTTTGATGGACAAATTTCTCTGAAAAGTACTTCTTTCAATTTAGAAGAGGAAGTGAGAGATTTCCCAGGAGTAATATTTAGCAATAGTCATGTGGCTCCAAATGCAAGGCAGAAACCCTTTGTAGCTGAACTTGGTCAGGAAGGAGAGGAGCTGAAGATGGCTGAAAGGCAAAATCATAGATCCCTTTTGGTAACTTTGGATTCATTCATTTACGACTCTCCAAGACGAAGCAATAGACCTTGACTCCAGAAAACCAGCGCTAAAGACAAGTTGTTAAAAATACTTACCTTCAAATTTAAATTTGGATTAGGTTATAAAAGGAAGCATTCTAATTAGAGGATCAGTATAAAATTGTTAAGGTTCTAGTAAAGGACTAATAAAAGAATTTAGTATTTAACAGTCTGTTTTGGAAAAAATATGGAAACTAAGTCCGAGGGAAGACAGTGATCTCTAACCAAATCAGGAAAAACATGCATGTTGCCATTGTGACCTGTATACTACAAACATCAAAGGTCTCATAACCCTGGAAAGCACCTACAATGCAAAGAAATTAAGTAGCAGCTCAGACTTGTGTCCTAAACTATGAAACAAAAGCCAGCGGAGTTACTCCGTGTTGCGGTGTGTGTGTAATTGGTCACTCCTCCTGGTACAGCACAGCTCTGTGGCCCGTTGGCTTTGAGCTCGAGAACCCTTTCTGTGGAGTTTGCTTGGGCTGCACGTATCGATTCCCACCTGGCTCCCACTGTGCTTATCAGGAGGAATGATAGTTGGTTCCTTTGCTCTTATCACTCTTTCATTTGTTTCCCCTGGTCATGTTGGTAATTATTAATATAATGTAAATGTCTTTGCTTTCAGTCCACCTCGGCCGCTGGCTAATATGAATGACACCATGGTGAGCCACACGTCCTCCGGAGCACCCACTCCCACCAAGAGGTATGTAGGGTTCATGCCTCAGTCACTGCTCAGAGTTGGCCTGGCCTGGGAAGCAGAGCATTCCACAGGACGTAAAGGACTGGCTTTCTTTCTCCTCCTTTAACTGTCTTTTAATATTATTTTCTAATTTTTTTCTTCCTTTTTTTCCTACTAACTCGTAAATATAGCAACCGAAGGAGTCCGCTTGTGAGTGGTGCCTGGGGGGTGGAAGCTCTTCATTTGTGATAAGCAGTGGATAGAGAGAGTGTCAAAGCAGATTAGGCACTTTTGAGATTTTTTTTTTTTTTTTTTTAACATTAAACAGTATTTTGATGATCATGAATTGCAACAATTTTGCATTTGTGTTCTTTAAATGTCAAAGATCGTTTCTGCTTCCTGATTAGACTGTGTGAATTGAATTAATCTCTGATACTCTCCTAAATCATTCTATATATGATTCATGAACATTTAAGTTGAAAGCCTGAGTCTCTCTCTTAGTTATACAAGGAGTTTCCTGTAGGGTCCTACAAGGAGCTAGAACTGTGTACTCCTTTCTCTTCTTTATTTAATTTACTCTTCTCCAAAATTCTCTTAGGCAGGACTTAAAAGAACTCTATAAAATGGCTTACTTTCTGTTTGATTTGAGCTGTTCCATAATCAGAGCATTGCAGGAACTCCCTCAAGGGCACAGCCATTAAAGAATTCTTTCTCTTTTTTTTTAAGATTTTTTTTTTATTATTATTTATTTGCGAGAGAGAGAATGAGAGACAGAGAGCATGAGAGGGAGGAGGGTCAGAGGGAGAAGTAGACTCCCTGCTGAGCAGGGAGCCTGATGTGGGACTCGATCCCGGGACTCCAGGATCATGACCTGAGCCGAAGGCAGTCGCTTAACCAGCTGAGCCACCCCGGGCGCCCTAAAGAATTCTTTCTAACAGTCATCACCCAAAGAGAAGAAAAAAAAAACAACAAAGACATTCCAGCTGACTCCCCAAGTTCTTCCTGAAGAAAACTACTTTGTGCCATATGTACTGATTGCTTTGGATAATTCAGCTGTAGAAATGTCATCTTCTTAATGATACTTTGACTTAACATATAATATATAATACTTAAGATCAGCTGTATTTGTTCCCATTGGCTAAAACTCCTGGAGCACTGTTTCCCAAACTTGACTGATGAGAAGAATCGGAAGAATCATCTAGGTCAGTTGTTAAAAATATAATCTTCTGGGACCACATCAAACCCAGTGGATCCTGAGATCCTGAGAAGCTACACCTTCAACAATAAGTATTCCAGGTGATTCTTACCATCAAGCAAGTTTGGGAAAGAGCCTTAGAAGGAAGCTAAGGAGTGCACTGAGGAGTTCGGGACTTAATAAATTAGAGTGACCTGATAATGCAGTGTTATCCACTAGGAGACTCGACCAACCAGGTAAGAGCGCTCGCCCTCCACCTTCCTGAGACACTACCAGCAGGGAACAGCCACACCGCTTCCTTTGGGCAGAGCTGAGGGGTGTCAATGCCTAGAGCATAGACTTGAGCCAGACTATCGGCATTTGGATCCTGACCCACCCCTGACCTTGAACAAGATTCGTATCTTCATTTTTTAAATTTATAGAATGGGGACAATAAGAGTGTCTACCTTGTGGGGTTATGTGAGAATTTAAGATACTGTTTTCATTATTTAAGAAGTAAACTAATGAGAGAACAAGTGGGTGGGTATGAAGAGGTAACTTAGAAATAATACCCTTTCAAGGAAGAACAGAGAACTTCTGGAAGGATACAGAACAATTAAATCTCTCCCACCAACTGAGATAATGCAACAACGCTCGCTGGCCTTAGTCCTTAATTTTTTATGTTAAAACACCCTTAGCGTTCAAATCCAGACCCAGAATCTAAATATCAACTCCAGGGATGTTTCCATTTCAAAACCAAGAGACCAAGGTGGATTATTGAAACAAGTCAGCTTGCACGTGGTAGATTAGTCACAGCAAGGCCAGCTATTAGGGTTTTACTTCATCTGAGTTGTTCTCTTCATTTACTAGTTTTGTCACTCTGAGTCACTTGAGTCCCTGAGGGCCCTAAGTGCCCGGTGACCAAGGCCCCAGACATTCAGTGACCGCAGCTAAACGTAGCTGCCAGAGGCTATTAGAGGGGGGGCCTCTTTCTGAACAATGTTTTTTGCTTGAGAAGACTGACAGAGGGGGCTCAGGAACAGTGCTAATCACTGCTGCTTCTGTGAAAGGACCAGCCTTTATGCTGGGTGTTGCAGTATTGAGCCCCAGGCTTAGGATTAAGTGGCCTGCGGCAGTTGGCAGTCACTTTTGAAAGTTGTTTCAGGTGGTATACTATAGCCTGGATTAAGATTTTATTTTAAAGTCAACAGTTTAGCTAGTACCTCTTTCTAGCTGAGCTAAGTCTAGTAGAGTTGGTCAATCCTCAAGGTGGTTGTCACACTGTATAGGGGTTGAGCAGCAAAAAGAGGCAGCCAAGCCCTTAGCGGGCCAGAACGGAAGACTGGGCGCTTTCATTTATCGAGAAGAGTAGTTGCTGGAGTAGAGGCCATATGGGAACAAGATGGTCCCACCCTAACGATTTAGTCCTTAGAATTTTGGAGATTTCATTTATATCTGGGATGAGATTGTGATGTAACATGTGGACATTAATTGCATAATTCATAGATTTGGCTTTTCATGGCCCAAGTTACCAAACCTGGTAAATTTCCAGCTAGTATTCTATATACTTCCTTAAGGACTCATCAGTTTTTCTTTCCTCCTCTGAATGTCGTCAGACCTGTGTCTCCAGAGTCTGATGAAAGCTAGGAACCCACACATCAGCACAATCACAGAACTTCCTCTGCTGGGGCAGAGAATCCTCAAGGGGATTAAAGTTCCTTTAGAGCTCAGCGTAAGACATAAATCACTGAATCAGACAAAACATGCACAGTAATAAAAATGCAGGAAAAATTTAAGAGCTACAGTTTCTATCTTTTCAGTAGGCAGTGGGTATAAAAATAGTGACAGCCACAAGGGTCAAAAATACTATATTAGTCCAAATAGAAGATCGTCACAAATGTAAGAGTTAACTTTTTATTTTTATTTATTTACTTTTTAAAGATTTATTTATTTTAGAAAGAGAGTGGGTGCATGTGCATGAGCGGGCCTCAGGGCAGCCGAAGAGGGAGAGAGAGAGAATCCTCAAGCCCACTCCCTGATGAATGCAGAGACTGACACAGGGCTTGATTCCAGGACTCTGAGATCATGATCTGAGCCACAATCGAGAGTCGGACACATAACCGACTGAGCCATCCAGGCACCCCAAGAGTTACTTTTTTTTTTTTCTTTTACAATTTTATTTATTTATTTGACAGAGAGAGACACAGCGAGAGAGGGAACACAAGCAGGGGGAGTGGGAGAGGGAGAAGCAGGCTTCCCGCTGAGCCAGGAGACTGATGCGGGGCTTGATCCCAGAACCCCGGGATCATCACCCGAGCTGAAGGCAGATGCTTAAGGACTGAGCCACCTAGGCACCCCAAGAGTTACTTTTTAAAGAAGAAAACCTTATCAATTGCAGAGATGCTGGCTGTCATGTGAGATACAATGAATTATGTTCCTGCAAGGGTCCACTGTGGGGGTTTGCTCTGTATAATATTCTTTTAGTATGCCTATATTGAAATTGCTATAATTGAGTAGAAATTTCATTTTTTGCTTCAGTATAATTAGTTTCTGGAAATTTGCTTTCTTTCAAAAGAACCAAAACAATACACTTAAAAACAAACAACAAAAAACTTTCAAAACTTTAAAACAGAGACTTAAAATCCCTCCCCTTCTACCTGATTCCTCCAAGGCTTGCTTCGGTCCGTCTCCTTCCACAGGGTTCAGAATGTGGATGGTGATATTATTCTCTGGACTATTGTACTGTTTCTAATCATAATGTACTTTCAGACCAATATGGTAAATGATGCCAATATTTTTAATTTTTTAATATCTCCTAAAGCCTTAGCTTTATGAATTTTTATGAATATTTAAACTTTCACAATTCTCTGGGCATTTCATAGAACTATGGCAGTAACAAAGACTTCCAATATCAAACTTCTGCTTTGTGCATTTGGTTGATATATTAGTATCAACTCTTTTTAACTTCAGGTATTAAAATTTAACGTCAAAAAGCACAAACCCCATTAAGCAAGATGAAAAAGTTTAAGTTTTAATGATCTCTATAACATTGTGTTCATAATGGATACTACACTGTACACTTAAAAACGTGTTAAGTGGGTAGATCTCATGTTACCTGTTCTTAGTTAAAAAAAACAAGAAGGAAAAAAAGGGACAGCCCCACAAAGACAAAGGCAAAAGCAGGAAGCAAAGGGCAGAAGCGTTCATGGATCACAAAAGCAATGGAAAAGCTGCTGGGATGCCCACCTGTAGCTTCTCCATCTCTTGGTTACTCTCAGAATGCCATCTCCATTCCCTGCTGCTGTGAACCACCCTCTCCTAATCCTGCTGACGGCCTCAGGTGCACAGCCACAGAGTCGCCTCAAGAGGTTGTGTTTTCCTACCTTGGATTAGAAAACTCCAAGGAAGGACTCCTGCTGTCCTGGGCTGTATTACTGCCAGTCCGTGTGTCTGTGATGGGCTACACCCATTAGACCTACATCATCAAGACAGAGGGAGGAGGATTTCCCCAAAAGAAGGTTATACTGTCAGGAACAGAAGAGAGAGGCCATGGGAAAGACATATAACAAGGTTGTTGGCAGACCACTGTTTTGCTACCCAGTACACCAGCGTGTGCAAAAGTGTGTACATACACCCATCCATACACACCTTCTCATACCGTTTCCACTAACAGGGCTTTCCTTCACATAATGCACATAATGAATTCCATGTAAAATTCCATGTAAAACTGGAGAGTGCACGTCTCTCCCAGGAGTCTGTCCGCCTCCTGTAACAGCCCTGGGTGCTGGATACCTAGGCTATGTCCACTCATCCAGGTCAGGTCTCTATATGTCTTTTTGTGACTCATCAA